CTCTCTCTCTCTCTCTCTCTCTCTCTCTCTCTCTCTCTCTCTCCCTGCTTTATTCATGCTCTCTCTCTCTCCCTTGTTAGGGCTCTGGCTGCATCAGAATTGTGTGTTTATATTCCTTCCTCGACTTTACTTAACTTCCCTGTTGAACTGGAAAAGCGCTGTATTTTCCTCTGCCCTACGGCAGGTTTGTATGTAAAGCCTAACTCGCCGTGGGTTGTGGCTGTCTTCACTGGAAGAGAACAGGGGAGGAATCATCCAGAGACCAGAGGTGTGCAGGAAGGGTAGAGAGGGGGGGCAAGTCACCTGTCTGAAACCTATAACGGGATTAATTTTTCCCCTTATGTCATTCAATGTCAGCACACGAGCAACCCAAGTTTCTCTCTAGTCAAACCTTCCACTTTATTCTCTCCTTCATTCACCAAAGAGGCAGTACAATAGGTCTTATTGTGTCACAATGATTTTCAGTTTGTGTATATATATATATATATATATATATATATATATATACACAAACGCACACACACACACACACACACACATCAGGTCAACATTTTTGATTTGGCCAGTACTTTGCTTCATGAAAACAAATATCTAAAAAACAAATAACATTTCCATCTGCTGTACTTTGCTTAAAGGCTTACTATCAAATGTTAGCATGCTTACGTGCTAAACTAAGATGGTAAACATTATGCCTTTTAAACATGCATACTGTGAGCATACTGAGGTGAGCATTAAGCTCAAAGCACTGTTATGCCTAAGTATAGCCTTGGTCTTGTTTTAACCTTGTGTATTTATATTTCATGTCTCTTTTACAAGTACTTTATCTTCCACATTATCTTGCGGTATTCATTTTGCCTTTCTTTTAATGAGCATTTGTTGACAACGATTGGAACACGGCAATTTCCAAAGTTTACAAGTGACAGCCTTTTTATCGTTGGCTCAAATGCTCCTTGGTTTTCATATTTTTGTTGATCAATTTGTTTCATTTGTGTCCCTTCCTGTTCGAGACTCCCACTGTTGTGGACACACACACATAAAGACATAAACGCATAAATACGGACTTTAACACAGCTCTCTGCATCCGTTTTATGCTGGATTTCTCTCCCATGCGGTCATGAGTCTGAGAGATTGAACATATGCTGGTGTTCTCTCACTCACACACTGCCTCCCCTCCTCAAACACACCTTTCCATCCATCATCTTCGCTCCCACCATCTTCTATCTTTGTCACATCTCCTGCATTTTTTTGCATTTTCACGTCTTAATCCAACCATCACCATCATCCATTTAATCATATTTCTGTGTCATCCATCCCCCCTGTCTCTTCATGTCCCCTTTAACTACAGGGCGCGGTACCACTCATTTGACCGTCTGTCTATCTCATCCATGTGTCCCGACTACAGTCTGAAGATCAAGAGGATAGCCGTGGATCAGTCCAAGTAACTGACTTTTCTCTGTCTGTCCTCCTCCTGTCTCTTTCCAACTTTACCTGCCTGGTCTTCCTCTCCTCTGGTCTTGGTCTGACACTTCACTGATGCATGACCTTCCCATTTACTTTTTAATCTCCCTGCTATCTATCGCTTTATGTGACTGGAACAACTCACAGGAGTTGTAATCCCGGTTTGAGACATTTTAGGTTGATGATGCGTAGACAGGAATGCGAGAAGGGAAATGTTTTCTGTAGCATGTTCTCTATCACTGGAGCATCACTTCCTCAAGGCTGTTTTCTCTCTCTGTATTCATATCGATCCCTTTTGTTGTCATTCCTCTTGACTCTGATTTATATCCTTCTCTCAAGCATCTTCCACCGCTTGCTCCAAAGTTCTTCAGCTTTCCTCCGCTCTGCTTTTCATGCATCTTTCCTTCCTCCATCTGCCTCTCTTTTGATCTGGGATGCATATTTGTTCTTCTATTTCATGCTGAATAACTGACTTGTGTGACTAAATGATGGATGTGTTTATCTATGCATGATTGCTCCTCCCTTTATGCAGCTCTGTGCACACGTCTCCGAGCAATGTTAATGTCATCATGAAATGCTTGTTGATTAAACTTTCATTGCCTGGTAAATAAGGCGTTTAAATTCTGTAAATGTAATCTGCAATTTTTAAAAAAAATTCTAATCTATGAAGCGGATATTTTTTTGTTGACTGTTATGTTCCTGTTGAAGAGGAATAATCAGCTACTAAAATCATATTCAGTATCTTTCAGCTTCAAAGCTTTTTGAGGGGGTTCACATACACACTTGCTGAACAGTTTTAGTTAGTTTGAATCCTGTTCATACATAGTTCCACAGTTTTAGTGCAGCGGCACAATGATCTTAAACATTCAAAGTTCAGTCCCTTGACTTTAATCAAACTGAGCATGTTTAACTTGCTGAAGAACAGATTGCAGGCAAAAAAGCTCCTCATAAAGTTGATGTGACAAACATGCGAGCAAATAGTTCCTTTTTACACATCCAATGGACATGGAGCAACTTAAGCATTCATTTGCAGTCGCATATGTTCAGTTGACAAATGTAAGTCCAATATTCACTCTTTTTTTAGCTCACTATTGGTCACTACCTACTGAAGGAAATATTGAGCTTTGTAGCTGCTAAATCTTCCACCGGGTTCGTCCTTTAAATCGTTAAAAGTAACGATGAGAGCAGATTCACGTTTATGTTAACTTGTTAAACTACACCCTTTTCATCAAAACTGGGGAACCATGCATACAGAGTTATACTGTTCATCTGATGTGGATGTAAACACCTTTGAATTAAAGCTTAAAGTCACAACGGTATCCTCATAGACGTATCTTTATGTCGAACCCATTCTGGTGGAGTACAGACGCAACACTATACATAGTGTGTCACTGTTGTAATATTTTCTGACTGGTCTGTATGTGCCCACTCATTATAAGTCAGTCTGGATAACTACATTAGCTAAATGCCCCAAATGTAACATTGAATTCCTTGAAGTCCCCAGTGTGAAATCTGAGTTTTCTATTTCTTTATGAATTCTGAATACACAGTATTTTGATCCTAAACCAGAAATAGCCTCTGATACAGGAAAACTATCTGACAGAATGACTTTGCTATTGAAACTTCAACACTCCAAGGCACACTGACAAACAAACTGTTCTTTTTCACTGCTTCAATTACACATTTTTCTTTTCATCCTTTTAAAATATCCTCTGATTTTGATAACAAATTAATTCCCCGCCCCCCCGTTCAGGTCCTTGGAGCTGTTCTTTGCCACCAACCAGAACAACAGAGCCGGCGAGCACATAAACGACAAATCTCCTCGTCTCTGCCGCAAGTTCTCCTCTCCTCCTCCTCTGTCCATCCCGTCCCGCACCTCCTCCCCTGTCCGAACTCGAAAGCTTTCCCTCCACTCCCCCATCACTGCCAGGGTCGGAGGGCTCGACCTAACCAGTCCTCTGTCAAACTCCAGCGTCAACCTTAACACTTCCCAGTCTGCTGCCAGTAGCCCCACATCTGCCCACACCCCCCAAACCTCCTCTCCTCACCTTCCTCCCCCTTCCACCTCTCCCCCACCCAACAACCCAAAGTCACCACAGGACCAAGTTCCTCCCATTCCCTCCTCCCCAGACCAAAGTCCCTGCTCAACTGCAGAGGGGGAGGACGGGCCTAAGATGGACCCTTTCTCTGGCAAACTGAGACGGAGCATCCGCAGAGGTAAGTTATGGCTTCCACACGAATACAGTGCAAACAACATTTATACTGTACAGAACATCAGGTCTGGATTTGTTTGACTTCAACTAGAAAGGGCAGTGTTTCTTGTAAAGTGAATAGCACATTTTGTAGTTTTAGTGGTGACCTGCATCTAGAAATTATATTAAAAGAAGATTGCTGTTCTTTTTAATCATACAGTCATTATGGAAGCAACAGAGATTTAGTTCAAAATGTTGCGGGTATATCAACAAGGTAAAAATATACAAAAATGTTATGGTTGTAATTATTTGTAACAGCTGAATTGTGAAGCATCGGCAGATGATTTAAACTTCACTGTGCTTAGCTTATTAAGCGACATGTTGTCACTGATTGAAAGTCGACAGACAGTATGCAGTAGAGCCTTATTTGCATACTGAGATGCTCATGAAGGGCTGGAGGTCACTGCTCAAATGGCACAGTTTGAAGTGTTCCCTGTAACAGCAGAACAGGCGCCTGGTGAAACATCATTATCTCCTTACGTTTGTGTGCTCGAGTCAGCTAAGCTGACTTCCCACCACACAAGCTCAGATCTTCTAATTGTGCTGTTAAACAGGCCATTCAGGCTCCAGAGAGATAGTGTCAGGGCCTCTGAAGCAGCACAGCGATGACAAGCTGCAGTTGCACCCTCATTAGCATGTGCACATACACACAATTTAATGTGTGTGTGTGGTGTGTGTATCTATGTGCATGCAGCTATTTGGAAATCTTCCTTTTTGTCTGTTAATCTAAACCCTTCCCTTGACATTTCTCCGTCACCGACAAATTGGCAGTGTGACATTATGTTGAAGAGTCATCGCTCTGTGTCGTTTAAAGTTAGATCTAAACTAAATTATTTTGAATGAAACAACATTATCTCCAAAGCAAAGCACCAGGATGCACAAGAGCATCTACGGTAAAGCTCCATTGTAATCAGGTACTGTGTGGTGTTTACTTTACTGAGGGCTGAATACAGACAGGTGACGAATTAAAGGAAAACCTGAATAAATGAGTGTAGAAACATTATTGAATGCAGACGTTTCCACAACAGGGAACAACGGGGTCACTGAATGGTTTAATGAACCTGTTGAACACATACTGTTTGCCTAAGGCCTTTGCAGTCACAACATCTAAACCCAATTGTACACCTATGGGAGATTTTGGTGCATGTGCATGATAACTATCCATCCATCCATTTTCATCGGCTTATTCGGGGCTTTGTCGCGGCGGCAGCAGGCTAGGCAGGGTATTCCAGTTGTCAACATTTACAAGCTCCTCCTGGGGGACCCCCAGGTGGCCAGGTGAGATATATAATCTCTGTATCGTGTGCTGGGTCTACCTCCATTCGGACAGAACACTGACTTGAACATGTACTTGCTCACTCATACACAAAAATGTGCAGGGAAATAATACAAGTCTTGATGATATACTCTGGTTATACTGAGCCACCTCTGCACGGCTGTGAACTTAAGTGCAATAAAGTTCTCCTCTCCAGAAGAGCAGCTGCAGTCGTGGCCACCACCATGACCATACCCATCAACATCATCGCCACCATCATCATCATTATTCTTGTCCCATTCCTCTCCTCCTGTCTAGCTCTGCTGGAGTCGGCATCACTGGAGAAAATCATCCCAGAGTCTCCTCAGAGCAGTGAAGCAGGAGACATGTCTCCGTGTCGCTCACCTTCCACACCTCGACACCTCCGCTACAGGCAGCCTGGAGGTACCAGTGTGTGTGTGTGTGTGTGTGTGTGTGTGTGTGTGTGTGTGTGTGTGGTTTTATTTGCCTATACTGACAGGCCCCCCTGCAGAGCCAGGTAAAGATCCCTGACCCTGAATCTTTATTACAGAAAGCTCATATATAGCTAGACCATGGCATAAAAGGTCCTGTTTGACTGAGCCCTAATGGTGGTACCTTCACTGGTGATATTAAAGGTGATATGATCACAGTGAGAATTCCTTGATGGCTGTTGGAAAAACGATGAGTAAAAATATGGTGTTCAATGTGCCTGTAACAACAACGACAATGTTCAATATTGGAAGTTTCTTTAGGAACAATAAAGACATCCATAATGAACACTCGCATACAAATATATATTTGTGTTTTTTTCTACAAACATCATGCAAATTACTGGTTTTAAAATATGGTTATAGCCATAGCCATCACATTAGTGCTAACACATTTCCTATTTCATTTTGATTGTATGAATGAAAGTACTTTTTCAAAATTCTTCTTGCGTCGACTCCTTTTGATGATAACAGCGGCAGAAATTGTCGCCGTTGATGATAATTATGTTTTTGTGTGTCTGCAGTTCAGTCAGGGGAGAACTCCCGCTGCCCAGTCTCTCCTGCTTCAGCCTTTGCAATTGCCACAGCAGCAGCAGGACATGGTTCACCACCAGGTACACACACACACACACACACACACACACACAGAAGTTCAAACATACTATTAAATAAAGAAAATATGTGTTTTCAATGGTGCTTCAAAGATAATACGTCACCAAAAGTGGGAGCTTTTGTTTCTTGTTTTAGTTTGTGATGGTGAAACATCTGTATCTGATATCAATCACTTAAACCAATATTTATACAGGCCTCAAAAGGTGCACGGGCATCAAAAGGAAATATAGTGAGTTTACTTTGTTACTTAATCTGTCAGCAGTAGTTATTGTGTACTGTGAATACTGGCATTTGACATTCAAAGCATATGACCAGCTCCTAATATATATTGTGTTACAATAACCTACAGTGCATCATTAGAAATAGCACCACCTGTAAACTATAAAACATTAAATGGTTTGATTTACTGCTATTTACAAAAAAGATCTGTCCATATTTTGGGCTCCCCGGGTTTCTGTCGCTGCTCCATCGCAATCGAGATTAATAGAATTTCTAATAATCAAAGGATGATGGGGATTATCCGGACTTCAATTTGGGTTAATTGCCCCTTTAAAACACTGTTTGCATGATGCCTTGACATATTCCAACTCAGACTACTTTCAGAATACACACTGTTACTTTTAAAAGTTAAGTACATTTTGCTGCAAATACTTCTACTACCGTAAAAATGTGCAATACTTTTAATGAAGCATTTTTGGATTGCATTATTTTAACTTTTAATACTTACGCAATTTGCAATACTTCACGATCAGACATATTTTTCTTTTGAGGGTAAACACAGTTAAGGCCAGATCATCATTGAAAATGTTATATCATCACACAACAATAACATATTCTCTCTGTCTCTCTTTGTTTTTATAATTTTCCCTCCAGTGTTTACTAACCCTGAAAGAACTTGTGATAAAGAGTTCATCATCCAAAGAGCTGCAACTAACAGAGTTCTCAACGTGCTGCGGCACTGGGTTTCCAAACACTCACAGGTCTGTCTGCACCCACCAGTGTGTGTGTGTGTGTGTGTGTGTGTGTGTGTGTGTGTGTGTGTGTG